TGAGCATTCTTTGGCATTGCCTTTCTTAGGGACTGGAATGAAAACTGACCTTTTCCAGTACTGTGGCCACTACTGAGTTTTCCAAATTTGCTGACATATTGAGTGCAGCACTTTTACATAATCATATTTCAGGATTTGAAATAGCTCAACTGGAATTCCATCAACTCCACTAGCTTGTTTGTAGTAATCCTTCCTAAGGCCTACTTGACTTCACCTTCCAGGTTGTCTGGTTCTAGGCTAGTGATCACATCATCGTGATTATCTGGATCGTGAAGATCTTTTTTGTATAGTCCTTCTCTGTGTTCTTGCCACCTCTTCTTAATATCTTCTGCTTCTGTCTTCCAACAACACAAGAGAAGACTCTACACATGGACATCACCAGATGGTCGACACCGAAAACAGATTGATTATATTCTTTGTAGCCAAAGATGGAGAAGCTCTATACAGTCAGCAAAAACAAGACCGGGAGCTGACTGTGGCTCAGATCGTGAACTCCTTATTGCCAAATTCAGAGTTAAATTGAAAAAAGTTGGGAAAACTACTAGACCATTCAGGTATCACCTAAATCAAATCCCTTATGATTATACAGCAGAAGTGAGAAATAGATTTAAGGGACTAGATCTGATAGACAGAGTGCCTGATGAACTATGGACGGAGGTTCATGACATTGTACAGGAGACAGGGGTCGAGATCATTCCCAAGAAAAAGAAATGTGAAAAAGCAAAATGGCTGTCTGAGGAGGCCTTACAAATAGCTGTGAAAAGAAGAGAAGTGAAAAACAAAGGAGAAAAGGAAAGATACACCCATTTGAATGCAGAGTTCCAAAGAATAGCAAGGAGAGATAAGGGAGCCTTCCTCAGTGATCAGTACAAAGAAATAGAGGAAAAGAATAGAATGGGAAAGACTAGAGATCTCTTCAAGAAATTTAGAGATACCAAGGGAACATTTCACCCCCTGATGAGAGGGGATAATTGCGCATACAGGTTCAGGAGGAATTGTTGACATCCATCTTTGCAGTCAACTCTCCCATGAATTGCAAGTTCAAAGGAAGGATGAGAACAAAATTTAAATATACATATATGGATTATATAAATATATTGTATAAATATAAATTTATATTCATATGAATTATATATATATATTTAAATATATATAGAGAGAAGACTCTTGAGAGTCCCCTGGACTGAAAGGAGATCAAACCTTTAGTCAATCCTAAAGGAAATCAGCCCTGAATATTCATTGGAAGGACTGATGCTGAAGCTGAAACTCCAATACTTTGGACACCTGATGTGAAGAACTGACTCAATGGAAAAGACCCTGATGCTGGGAAAGATTGAAGGCGGGAGGAGAAGGGGAAAACAAAAGATGAGATGGTTGGATGGCATTACTGACTCTATGGACATGAGTTTGAGCAAGCTCTGGGAGTTGGTGATGGACAGGGAAGCCTGGTGTGCTGCAGTTCATGGGGTCGCAAGGAGTCGGACATGACCAAGCGACTGAATTGAACTAATAAATGTAAATATATATATATATATTTACATATATATATACACACATACATATATATAAAAATATATACACATACACACACATACACATACACATACACATACATACATACACATATATACATATATGTACATATATATATACACTCTGGTGGCTCAGACATCTGGTAAAGAGTCAGCCTGCAATGTGGGAGACTCAGGTTGTATCCCTGGGTTGGGAAGATCCCCTGGAGAAGGGAATGGCTACCCACTTCTTGGAGAATCCCATGGACAGAGGAGAGACTAGCAGGCTTGCAGTCCATGGCATGGCAAAGAGTCGGACATAACTGAATGACTAGCATTTTTCACTTTCTCACACACACACATATATATATATATTTATATCCACACTAAGGCAGGTGAGGAGCAGAACTGACACTATGGAAAACTGTAATAGTGTTGTGGAAAACAAGCTTAAGTATTTCTCCCCAAAAGTATGAATGTATATAGAGATGAAAATGATGAGTGAGAAGAGAGAGGACAGGCAAACAAGGTCCTAGTGGAACTTCCTTTCTCTGCTTGTGAAATTTCTCATGTTAGGTGTCTTTACTGTCTGACACATAGAATCAGAAAAGGCCAGAATCCCATTTTCTCAGGCTGCTTGCTAGGGTACCAACTTGTGACCTGTGCCAGCCAGTCACGCACATGCAGAACTCTGAAAAGGGGGCTTGTAGCACAATGATGAAAAGATTGAGGAGATGTCATTCTGAGGGTGACAGTCCTGGTCCAGGATGGTGGAAGCCACGGCACAAACTGCAGTGTCTGGGGTCCAGTGCTAGAGCAGTAATGCTGTGAGCAGCTCCCAGGGTTCAGTGGTAGCATTGCTGGAGTCCTCACTGGTTGATATTTTGGTTAGATTCTCAGTATCTGTTTAATGAATTATTTCATGACTAAAGCAGCAAGAGTTAGTATGGGTTGCTTGCAGTTAAGATCTTTGACTTGCACAGGATATGAACAAAGAGCAATAGGTGTCTCGGTGGGAGGTAAACCAGAATAACTGTAGGAGGCAATGATCAGTCAAAACAAAAAAAAAAGGTTTTTTTTGATTTCTTAGAAGCCAAAAGGGAAACCAAGTATGTGTCCATATTTTACTATATTTTAGGCATGATAGTAAAAAGAGATCTCATCTAGACATATCATGGAAGTAATTATATTTAATAAGAAAAAGATATTATTCAAGAATCAAAAACTTAAAAAAAAACATTATCCACAAGTTAGGATGACTTCAGACTTCCCATCTGCAACATTGACTGCCAAAAGAAAGCATGGAAATGTTTCCATTTTTCAGTTTTGTGGGTAAGAGTGTATGATCCACATTTTTCCTTTAAAAAGAATTATTTGAAGATGTTTAGCCCAGAACAGAGTGAGTGATTCTCGCACTTCTTTCTTCTTTCTCAAGGTTGTTTTAGCTGTTCTAGGGCCTATGTCTTCCACACAAACCTTAGAATAAGCTTGTTTATGTCTACAGAAAATCTTGTTGGGATTTCGGTAGGAATTGCATTAAATCTAAAAATCAACTTGAATAGAGCTGACATCTTTATTGGGTTGAATCATTTAATTCATGAATACAGTATGTCTTTAAATTGATTCAGATTTTCTTTTTTTAAATTTCATTTTAATTTTTTAACACCAAAAACATTTTGTATTGCTGTATAGCTGTTTAACAATGTTGTGATAGTTTCAGGGGAACAGTGAAGGGACTAAGCCATACGTAAACATGTATCCATTCTCCCTCAAAACTTCATCCCATCCAGGCTGGCACATAATGTTGAGCAGAGTTCCATGCTATACAATGCGTTTTGTTGGTTATCCGTTTTAAATACAGAAGTGTGCACATGACCTTCTAAAAGTCCTTAACTATCCCTCCCCGCATCCACCCCCACCAGCAACCTTGGGTTTGTCTTCTAAGTCTGTGAGTCTCTTTCTGTTTTGTACGTTCATTTGTATAATTTCTTTTTAGATTCCACATATAAGGGATGTCGTATGATATTTCTCCTTCTCTGTGTGACTTACTTTGCTCAGTATGACACTGTCTAGGTCCATCCATATTGGTGCAAAGGGCCTGATTTCATTCTTTTTAATGGCTGAGTATTATTCCATTGTATATATACCACATCTTCTCTATCCTTCTCTGCTGATGGACATGTAGTTTGTTTCCACGTCTTGGCTGTTGGAAACAGGGCTGCACTGAACTTTCAGGGGCATGGATCTTTTGTGGCCATGTTTTTCTTGGATTCTTAACCACTGAGCCAGCGGGTAAGCCCCTGGTAAATGCACACCTAAGTATTTAACTTTATTTGGAATCATTGTAAATGCTGCTATGCTTTTAATTTCAGTTCCCATAGGTTCATTATTAGTACATAGATAAGCGATCGTTTTTTTTGTGTGTGTTGAATTTGTATCCAACAAAAACAGAGAGAAAAACAGAGAGAAAGTAAGAACAGTAAGAAAAAATATATCTTACTCCTGAATATATGCCCAGGAGTAAGACTGCAGAATCACATGGTAGCTCTATTTTTAGTTTTTTTTTAAGGAACCTCCGTACCATTCTTCACAGTGGGTGTAACAATTTACATTCCCACCAACATTCTCTGTACACCATCTCCAGCATTTTTTCTTTGTGGATTTTTTGATATCCACTCTGGTTGGTGTGAGGCTATTTTCTTTGATTTAGTTCAGCAGCATTTTGTAATATTTAGCATACAGATCCTGTACATGTTTTGGTAAATGTATGCATGTGGGCTCAGTCACTCAGTCATGTCTGACTTTTTGAGACTCCTGTAGCCCACCAAACTCCTCTGTCCATGGGATTTTTCAGGCAAGAATATTAGAATGGGTTTCCTTTTCCTACTCCAGAGGATCTTCCTGACCCAGGATTTGAACCTGCATCTCCTGTACCTCCTGAACTGACAGGAGGATTCTTTACCACTGTGCCACCTGGGAAGCCCTGGTAAATGTATGTGCTATGCGTACTCAGTTGCTTCCATCGTTTCTGACTCTTTGTGACCCTATGGACTGTAGTTGGCCAGGCTCCTTGTCCATGGGGTTCTCCAGGCAAGAATACTGGAGTGGGTGCCAGGCCCTCCTCCAGGGGATCTTCCCACCCAGGGATCAAACCTGTGTCTCTTGCATTGCAGGTGGATTCTTTACCACTGAGCCAACGGGTAAGCCCCTGGTAAATGCATATCTAAGTATTTAGCTTTATTTGGAATCATTGTAAATGCTACTATGCTTTTAATTTCATTTCCCATAGGTTCATTATTAGTACATAGTTAAGCAATAGATTTTTTTTGTGTTGAATTTGTATCCAGAAACATTACTTAACTCATATATTATCAGTTTTTTTGTAGATTCCATGTAATTTTCTATATAGACAATCATATCATCTTCAAATAAAGACAATTTTATTTCTAAACTATATGCCTTATATTCCTTTATTTTGCCTTATTGCAGGGGCCAGGACTTCTAGCACCACACTGAACAAAAGCAGTGAGTGCAGACATACTTGCCTTGTTTCTGATCCTAGGCAAAAAGCATTCAGTCTTTCACCAGTAAGTACATTAGCGGTAGTTTTCTTTTCTTTTTTTTTTTTTTGTAGATGCTCTTTATCAATCTGAGGTAATTCCCTTCTGTTCCTAATTTACTGATTTTAATAATGAATGAGTGTTGGGCTTTGACAAATACTTTATCATGGACTTAAGCATAAAACAAACTATAAAATGTTTAGAAAAAATAGAAGATCTTGGGATTTGGGTCTAGATGAAGGGTTCTTAAATTTGACGTGAGGCCATTATATATACCAGAAAGCCATAATAAATTGGACCTCATCAAAATTAAAAGCTTTTTATCCATGGGAGCTATTTGAAGGGAATAAGAAGAGCCACAAAGAGAAAATATTTGCAAATCATATCTTTGACAATGACTAGCACCAAGAATATATAAAAGTCACTCAAAACTCAATAGTAAAAAAATCCAATTAGAAAAAGACATGTATAGGTATTTCGTAATAAACAGAACATACAGATAGCAACTAAGTTCATGAAAAGTTGTTCAACATATATATTCATAATACCCCCAACTGGAAACAATACAGATGTCCTTCAGTGAGTGAATGGTGAAACCAATAGTGGTACATCCTTACTGTGGAATACACTCAGCAAAACAAAAACAAAAACAACTATTGATGCACACAATGACTTGGATGAGTTGCCTGGGGATTATGGTGAAACTGTTAAAGCCAATCTCAAAAGATTACATACTGTATATAACTTTATTTCAAGAAAGTATAGAGAATGGAGAACAAATGAAGAAGTGAGAAATGAGAAAAGTATAGGAATGGAGAACAAATAAGTGATTTTCAGGAGTCAGGGATGGGGTGTGGGGGTTGGTAAGGGGGCAGAGGCTATTGCGGCTCTCAAGGAGCAATACAAGGGATCCTTGTGACAGCCGAGTTGTCCTGTGTCTCGACTGTGTTAGTGGTCACAAGAACATGATAAAATTCCTCAGAGTTAAAACACATACACATGCACACACACTAATACAAGCAGAACTGGGAAAATCTGAATAAGATGGGTAAATTGAATTAACATTAATATCCTGGTTGTGATTATACTTTTGCAGGCTATAACTTTATGGGAAGCTGGGTAAAGGATACATGAGGTCTCTTTGTGACTTACGACTGCATGTGAATCTATAATTATCTCAAAACAAATAGTGTACTGAAAAAATGAGACATTTTCTTTAAAGTCAGAATCAGCACAAATATGCTAACAATTACCATTATTAGTTGACATTGTTCTCAAAGTTTGAGCTAATGCAATTGTTTAAGAAACTGAAAGAAGAAACTAAGAAGTAGAAAATGAAATTATTTTAATTTCATATAACAATTTTTTTTTCCTTGAAAATCCTAGGGAAGCTATAGAAGAGAATTTAGAGGGGAACCAGCTACAAGATTAATTAAGTTAACAAAGTCAAGAGCTTTCTAATAAAATAGCAATAGCTAATTATAAAGGAAAAATATTTCCCTGGCATGAGCTATTGAAAGCTGTGCAGAACCCATAGGAATAAAACTCTGGAACAGTACTGAAATTCACAAAAGAAGACTTGAATAAATGGAAGGACAAACTTCTTGTTTAGAAGATTCAATAGGTAAAAATGTTGTTTCACCACATATTAATTTATACCTTTAATAAAATTGTGATAAACATTCTCATAGTAGTTTTTCAGAACTTTAAGAGAATGCAGAGTTCAGTTGGAAAAATGAATAGGCAAGAAAGCTTCATTATTAAATAAAAACATTAACATTCAGCTCATGAAACTCAAAAAAGAACAAAATACACCAAAGGAAATAGGGGGGAAAAGTTATAAAGAAAAGATGAATTACAAAAAGAAAAATAGAATTGATAAATATATTCAATAACACTTTCTATGAAAAATGTAATACAATAAACAAGTTCTCCCTTATATTGTTCATCATAATAAATCATGGAAGAAATAAAGTGAAACAAAAAATAAATCTGTAATTCTTTTCTTATGTTAGGAATAAGATAGGTATATATATTTCTTCCTATTAATTTGTTCAATTGAGCCCTCTTTCTGTACCAGGTTGTTTAAATCACTCTAAGCTTTGTAAGATATTTAGTCGTATAGTAGTTAAACTTTTAAGCTCTGAAGTAATGAGTTTTGGGTTCAGATAAAACTCCTGACATTTATGATAGTGCCTCTGTGTTACTGGCAAACTTTTTAAACATCTCTAAGTTGCAGGTAATTGTACTTTGGGTTTCGAGGAGGAGAAAATAGAATCCATAATGCATGGGAAACTTAATTCAGTACAATGTAAGCACTCAACAGATGTAAAAGGTTTTAGTATGTGGTATACACACACACACACACACACACACACACACACACACACACACAGAGGCAATATCCCAAGATTTTCCTGGCTTTTATTAAGTGTTCCACCTCAATTTTAAAATTGTATTGTTAAATTCTGAAAACAACACCATTGGGATTGAATTGAATTTATAGATTTATTTAAGGCAGTTGGACATTTTTACAACATGCATCTTCTTACCCATGAACATGCCTCTACTTTTACCAAATTTCTTTTTTATATCCTCACATAAAATATTTTACATTTCTTTAATATTTGTACATAACTAGCATCAACCCCCTAGGTTTGTTATAGTCTTTCGTTGATATTGTTGTTGTTCAGTTACTCAGTCGTGTCTGACTCTTTGTAACCCCATGGACTGCAGCATATCAGACTTCCCTGTCCTTCTCTATCTCCTGGAGTTTGCTCAAACTCATGTCCATTGAATCGGTGATGCCATCCAACCATCTCATCCAATATCGAGCCCTTCTCCTACTACCTTCAATCTTTCCCAGCATCAGGGTCTTTTCAATGAGTCGGCTCTTATCAGATGGTCAAAGTATCGGAACTTCAACTTCAGCATCAGTCCTTCCAATGAATATTCAGGGTTGCTTTCCTTTAGGATTGACTGGTTTGATGCTGTCCAAGGAACTCTCAAGAGTCTTCTCCAGCACCACAGTTCAAAAGCATCAATTTTTTGGCACTCAACTTTTTTTATGGTCCAACTCTCACGTCCATATAAGACTACTGGAAAAACCATAGCTTTGACTATGTGGACGTTTGTCAGCAAAGTGATGTCTCTGCTTTTTAATATGCTGTCTAGGTTTGTCATAGCTCTTCTTCCAAGGAGCAAGCTTCTTTTAATTTCATGGCTGCAGTCACCGTTGGCAGTCACTTTGGGGCCCCAGAAAATAAAGTCACTGTTTCTATTTTCTTCCCATCTATCTGCCATGAAGTGATGGGACCAGGTGCCATGATCTTAGTTTTTTGAATGTTGAGTTTTAAGCCAGCTTTTTCACTCTCCTCTTTCACCTTCATCAAGAGGTTCTTTAGTTCTTTATTTTCTGCCATAACAGTGGTGTCATCTGCATATCTGAGGTAATTGATATTTCTCCTGGCAATCTTGATTCTAGCTTGTGCTTCATCCAGCCCAGCATTTTGCATGATGTGCTCTGCATGTAAGTTAACAGGGTGACAATATACAGCCTTCACATTCTCCTTTCCCAATTTGGAACCAGTCCATTGTTCCAAGTCTGGTTCTAACTGTTGCTTCTTGTCCTGCATATAGGTTTCTCAGGAGGTAGGTAAGGTGGTCTGGTATTCCCATCTCTTGAAGAATTTTCCACAGTTTGTTGTGATCCACATAGTCAAAGGCTTTAGCTTAGTCAATGAAGCAGAAGTAGACACTTTTTTGGAATTCTCTTGCTTTTTCTATGATCCAATGGATGTTGGCAATTTGATCTCTGGTTCTGGAATTTTTCCCCATTGGTTTTTTTGAGCTAGCTGTTATTGATTTATAAGAAAATTATTGATTCTAGAATATTAATTCTTAATGGACAGATATAAAAGACAACTTTTGCCTTTTCCTCTCCAGCAGTCATTCTTTTCGGTTCTGATTTATTGCCTTTCATGAGATAGATCTATGTGTGCAAACTTGACTTGGATTCTGTTACCTGCAACCAAATTGACTTGACTTTCTAGAAAAGAATCTTAATTAAAGAAAACTTCGTTCATTTATTTGACTGTGTCCAGGTCTTTGCTGTGGCATGTGGGCTCTTTGTAGTGGCTCATGGGCTTCTCTCCAGTCGTGGCTCATGGGCTCAGCTGTTGCCGTGTGTGGGCTTAGCTGCCCTGTGGCATGTGGGATCTTAGTTCCACGACTACAGATTGAACCCACATCCCCTGAATTTCAAGGTGGAGTCAATTTTTTTTATTTAATTCGGCAGTAGATTTATTTCTCTTTTCCAAATGAGAACAGTCTTTTCATGTGGATCATGTTTAAAAAATACTTCATAATTTATATATTAAGAGCTTAAGTACATTTTAGTTTGGTCTTCAGTATGTCCCATATTCCAACTAATGATTGCTTTCTTGGGTTAGAGAGTTTTTAAAAAAAATTTATTTATTTTTTATTATTTTTTCTGTCAAACCTCAACATGAATCAGTCATAGGTATACATATGTCTCTCCCTTTTGAAACTCGCTCCCATCTCCCTCCTCATCCCACCCCTCAAGGTTGATACAGCTCCCCTGTTTGAGTTTCCGGAGCTATACAGCAAATTCCCGTTGGCTATTTTTTTTACACATGGTAATGCAAGTTTCCATGTTACTCTTTCCATACATCTCACCCTCCCCTCCTCTCTCCCCATGTCTATAACTACTGGACCACCAGGGAAGTCCCAATAATCTGAATTTTTAAAAAATCCACTTGATGTCAACAGGTATCTCCATACAGTTCCTTTTTCCTATTAGAGTGAAGAGATTTCCTAGCATTGACCCATCCCTGGATTTCTGGAGTTAAATCTAGATGCTCATACACTACTTAAAAAATGTATTGCTGATTTCAGTCTATTATTATTTATGTGATGTTTTAATTTATTTAATCAGATTTTGATATCAGAGTTTTACTGGGTTAGTAAAGTGATTTGAGACACTACCTAATTTTTCCTCTGGTCTT